AAGTAGGTCAAAAGTTTCCTATTCAACAAAAGGTGACGAATCTCTTCCCTCAAAAGGAGACGGAAGGGAAGATTGAGATGTACTTCTCCTCCGGCTGACCATTACAACTAAAGAGACAGCAGAGAGTACAACAAAACGGTATATGCGCATTCCGTGTGGCCTTTTATCAATGCGCAAGTCGGAAGGAGAAGAAAGAGACACGCAGAGGCCAATTTGTAAGGGGAGACATGCCAATTAGTGAGTTTCGCGGATCGGATTTTTATTTTTTGATTTTTCTACGAGCTAATTTTGTTCTGAAAGAGGAAAAAAGAAAAATGGGCCAATTAAAGAAAAATCCGTAAAATAAATAAAGATTTATTTTATCCCGCGAGTTGTCCGAGTGAAGTACACGGATTCGGGTACGCAATGTGACGTGATGGTGTTTGCACAGAAAATGGGAAAATGAAAAATTTTTTTCAGCGAAAATTAATTTTTGAGGGTTTTTGAACGAATTTTTTCCGATTTTTTCAGATTTTCGAAAGATTTTTCCAAAATTTTCTTTGAAAAATTGTTTCGGAAACATCAAAATGCACATATTTAGTGAAAAAAGTCCCGAAAAACTCTAAAAAATCGTCAAAAACTAGAAATATGGAGATATTTTGGTTTTACAGCAAATTTACATGGTTTTCAGGGATTTTAGGTGATTTTCGTCCTCAAATCAAAATTAAGAAATGAAAAGAATAATTGAAATCAGTTTTTCCGGTGTAAAAATGCTCGGAAATTCTTCAAAACCACAGAAAGCCGAGGCGACGGAAATAATTGGGTTTCACTGAATTTATATTGTTTTGAGTGGTTTTTTTTTCGTTTTAAACAATTTTTTTTGCTCAAAATGAGTGAAAAATCAATAAAATCATAGCTATAACTATTTCGGGCGGTTATTTTCAGTTCAAAAGTTCAAAAAAAAAGTTATGATTGGGTCTGTCTAGCTCCAATAAAAAATAAACAAACCTCTCCAGTCTGCTGCTTCCTCCGTCGTTTTTTTCCTCCTCCTGAATCCGTGACGCCTTCCGGTGAATCTTCGGATCCACCAGCAGCTGTCGATGCGGACGAGATGACTCCTTCGGTCAGTGTGGGCAACTCCTTTAAAATGTTCACAATCTGCTCCATACTTTGCTGCTCTGTGTCTATGTTTACTTTTTGGTTGGTTGGTGGGACTCGTGCGAAACGATTCGGAGCACAAAAAAAAAGAGAAAAAACACTGTTTTCTGAGACTCTTGGGGAGTCGTTTTGAGGGGGAAAAAATGGAAGTTTTTTTTTGATTTTTTTACAAATCGAAAGGGAAAGTGACGCTTTCACAGTTGGAAGTCGTCGTCACTTCCACGAAAAACAAGACAATTAATTTTTTCGAATCTTTGGCACTAACAAGGTCGCCCCGTCGCTTTTCCCAAAAAAAAAAAAAAAATTAAGATTAGAGCGCACTTGCCTTTTGGTATCCGGAGAATATCGACAGCTTTCGCATCGTTGTTCGCAGCATCTCTTCTCCATAGACTCTGAAAATAGGAGGACGTTTCCGGAGAAGCAAAAAAAAAAAAAACAAAATGATTCAGAAAAATGGAAAAAAAATTGAAAGAAAACATTGCTCACGGTGAATTTTTTTGTACGTGTTTTCAAAAAGTTTCATTCACGGGCTCTGTCTTACTGTAAGGTCGCATGCTAACTGCGTGGCGACTCAGCGATACGTAGGCTTTTTTCTCATTTTGTTGAAAAATCAAAGTAGCAATTTTTCGGCGCAAAATTCAAAATTTAGTAAAAATTGAATGGAATTGTTTCAGAAAAATGAGTCAACGTTATGAAATAAAAGATAAGAAACCGAGACGGGTATACAGAAAAAAGAGTTCGGTTTTTGAGTCATATATGGGAAGAGAGAAGACGACGGCAATGTTTGTTCTTCCTATTTATTTCCTTTTCAGGTTCCCATACTGTTATATGTATAAAGTTTTTTAATTGCATCGGTCTCTTTTGATGGGTAAGAAATTCTGGGAAAAGCGGGCGTTTTTCAGAAGGAATGATGGGAAAAATTTGAAAAAAAAAGATGGGTTTTCGGGAAATTTTAGGCCTGAAAATGATTTTTTTTTGAAAAATTGTTTTTTTCTTTGAAAAGTAAAAAAGTGAAAATTTGTGAATTTGATGAAACTCGGCTTCCAAAAAAAAATGTTTTTTCCAAAATTTTGAAAATTCTGAACAAAACAATAGGGCAAATACTCAACTGCTATACTTGTCGCTTCTGCTATAGATCAACTGTTATAGCCATAGCAGTTGAGACATCGAAAGCGGGAAAATAGCAGTTGATCCATAGCAGAAGAGCCAAATATAGCAGTTGAAACACTAGTAGTTACAACGTAGCAGTTGAGTATCTACCTCAAAATAGTGATTTTTGAAAATTTCAACTATTTGAATTTCAAATTTCCGCCAGTTCTCTGGATATCGCGCTCCACTGACAATGCTGTCAGTCACGTTTAGGAAACTAGGCCACGGCGGTATTTTGATGATTTTCCAGAGTTTCTTACAGTGTGAAAAACGAAAAGCCTGCCGAAGCGCCGTAGGCGCGCACTGAAAAGTATTTAAGTAGATACTCAACTGCTATTGGGGGTGATCAACTGCTATATTTGGCTCTTCTGCTATGGATCAACTGCTATTTTCGTCACTTTTAATGTCTCAACTGATATGGCCATAGCAGTTGATCATGGGTTATAGCAGTTGATCCATAGCAGAAGAACCAAATATAGCAGTTGAGTATTTGCCAAATATTGAGCTTCTCAGATTTTAAAGTTTTGAATTGCCGCCAGATCCGAAGCTCCGAATTTTCGTGTCTTTTCGCTAATTACATTCGTTTTCACATAGTTATTGACAGCATTCTCAAAACCCACAGAACGTTCAGCCAGAGCGCCGTAGGCGCGCAACGAACACAATTTTGAAAAACAAATTGAATTTCCGCCGCTTCTGAAGCTTCAATTTCAAGTTCTTTTTTCATGGTTTCTGCCAGATTTCTCGGAAACTCCTATACGAAAAACCTGCCGAAGCACCGAAGGCGCGCATTATCAAATTTCAGAAAAATTTTGAATTTCCGCCACACTCCAAAAAACTCCAAGAAATTCCCAAAAAAAAATAAGAACAAAAAAGTCACGAAAAAAAAATATGAAAACGAGATGGAAACCAATATTTTATGGACACTCTCCTCTCACCCTTCTCCATTTCCCTCCTCTTTTTTTTCTACAAATACATATACATCTGTCATATACAACAACCATATAAATATATGTACAACACAATCGTTTTCGAAAAAAAAGAACAAAAAAATGGGGAAACGGGAGTCAGAAAAAGTGCGTGGGGACTGATGGGGGTAGACATAGATGAATGAAATGAGAAGGGGATGAATGGAGCCAATGAAGGGTTATTGACCGGAAAAGTGCTGGGGAGACTAGACTTTTTTTTATTGGTTACAAGTACAAATTTTGGCTCTTTTGCTATGGATCAACTGCTATGGCCATGAGACATCAAAAGTAGCGAAAATAGCAGTTGATCCATAGCAGAAAAGCCAAATATAGCAGTTGAGACAATAGCAGTTACAACATAGCAGTTGATCACCCCCATAGCAGTTGAGTATCTACCTCAAATTAGTGATTTTCGACAAAATTGACTCTTCGAATTTCAAATTCCCGCCAGTTCTGTAGATATAGCGCTCCACTGATAATGCTGTCAGCCACGATGAGAAAACTAGGTCACGGCGGTGATTTTCCAGAGTTTCTCTTTTTTTTTGTGAAAAACGGAAATTCGACGCCTGTGCCGAAGCGCCGTAGGCGCGCGCACTGAAAAATATTTAGGTAGTTACTCAACTGCTATTGGGGGTGATCAACTGCTATATTTGGCTCTCCTGCTATGGATCAATTGCTATGGCCATAGCAGTTGAATATCTACCTACCCCGTGTGAGATGGAGCGTAGAAGCCGAGAAAAAAAAATTGTTCCTTCAAAAAATTAACCGTGAAAATTTATTGATTTTTTTTTGCGAATTGACGCTGAGCCGAAACTCCAAATGTGGAAAAAAAAGAAAAAAAAATGTTGTAACACGTTATCAAACCAAGCAAAACAACCACCAAAAATAAAATGTGGTGAAAGGTGTGGTGATCATGTAGAATCTATCGTTGAATTCACCATAGGAATAGTATCGGAACGCGAAGACCGCTGTGCAAATGATCAGGGAGAAGTAGATGGAGAATACGCATAGGAATTTCTGAAAAAAAAATGGAATTTTGGGTGCCTACGCGATTCGATAGGGCAGGAATTTTCCGGGAGTCTTCGGGAAAAAAAAACAAAAAAAACTGACCTCCCTCGGATCCGAACCCGCGTCGAAAAATTGCAAAACAACAGCGTTAGCCACTACACCACGCAAGCGGCAGGTGCGCGACAGAAAGAGCGCCATGCCGCTGTCCGCGGTGTGATGTAGTGGCTAACGCTGCTGTTCTAGAAACTTCCGGCGAGGGTTCGAACCCCACTGTGGTGTCAAATTTTTTTTTTTCAGAATCACTCACCAACCATCTCCAAGCGCTAAGCAACCGTTTACTCATCCGCTTCAATGGCAGCACTTGATCCGCATAGAAATACATCAGTTCCAATTGCTCTGATTGCAATAAATCCAGCACTTGTTTTTCCGTTTTACCCGTTTTTATCTTCTCATACTCCAAGGGTTGAATTGATGGTGGTGGATCATCAAGCAATTCATAGCTGGAATTAATAAATTGACTTCAAAATTCTGAAAAAGCTTACCTAGCGCCAGGTGACTGAGTGATGATGAAACAGAAGAGAAAAATGCCAAACAGGGTTTGAGACAATGTGAAAATCAAGAAACCGTCGATGGTTGTGCTCCAGGTGTAGAAGAAGTGATAGATTGAGAAACCAAGTATGACAAGCAACACAGTCCACAAAAAAATTGCGTATAGTTTCTGAAAGAAAAAAAAAGATTTTGAGACTTGGGCGGGATTGAACCCGCGTCGAATACTTCCGAAACAACAGCGTTAGCCGTTACGCCACACAGGCGGCAGCGGTATGCCGCTCTTTCTCTGCCTCGCGGCTGGCGCTTGCGTTGCCTTGTGGCTAACGCTGTTGTCTAGGAAATTTTCGACGCGGGTTCAGATCCGACAGGCGTCAATTTTTTTTGTTTTTTTTTTTGAATGCGGATCAAGGTTGTGCAATAGCAATCCACGAAGAAAAATTGCTAAAAATCCATGTTTTTTGTCCAATTTTGGTGTTTTTTGTTTCTTCTTGTTGTAACGATAGAAACTGGAGTAGAAAAAATTTCAGTTATGTACAAAATTTTACCAAAAAATTTTTTTTGTCGAATTAATCAATAAGCTTCTCCTAAGAACTTGGAGATGATGAGTGAGTGATTCTAAAAAAAAAAAACAAAAAATTTTAACAGTCATGGGATCCGAACCCGCGCCGCAAGTTTATAGAACAGCAGCGTTAGCCGTTACGCCACACAGGCGGCAGCGACATGCCACTCTTTCTCTGCCGCGCAGCTGGCACCTGTGTGGTCTAGTGGCTAACGCTGTTGTCTAGGAAATTTTCGACGCGGGTTCAGATCCGACAGGCGTCAATTTTTTTTGGTTTTTTTTTCAAAACCACCTAGAAACTTTTGACTTACAATTGAGTATCCGCTTGTAATACCTTCATATCCGCTTGTAATACCTTCTGCGCATTGCCAACTCCAACTCCATTTCTTTCGTCTCTTCGAACTCCTCTTTGCAAGGAACACAGCATTTAGAATATCCGAGATGTAGATGATCCGTGAAGTTGACCGTAATTCGTCTAGCTAGTTTAGCTGTTTGTACAGGGTCAGTCGATTTTGAAAGCATTTTCATCAAGTCTCGAAGAACCTGGGTCGATTTATATTTCCATTGTTTCTTGAACACGGGCTTCTCGTCTTCGTCTATCATGATTTTTTGCGACATTTAGGAATTCAGGGTTTGGAATATTTAAAAAAAGAGGACCAATTATTGATTATTCTGAGGTGATGCGACGACGACGACAGATGTGTTCTTCTTGGAGAGACTGACCAAATGACTAGTACTGTCCTTTGGGATGGATGGTGTATGATGTATGCACGCTCGACACCATATTCTACGACAGTTCAGGTTTTGTTGAGGTGCTTGCGTACCTGGTATCGAATTTGACGACAGTTTCGCTTGTTTGATGAAGTTTGGCGGGAATTCAAAAATGACGCTGTCTCATTTTGAAATATTTCAGCATCCTTGCTGTTTTGTGGTTGACGTCTGCAATCCGACGTGACGGTGTTTGCAGCCTCGGCATCACATTTTACGACAATTCAGTTCTATGACTTTTCTCACCTCCCCTGTCATTCTTGCAATAAAGTTTGGTGTGTGATTGAAACGAAATGTGTCACAAATGAAAACTCATAAAACCGAGTTGATGGGGAGGGGGGACCCCATCAATCTTTGTTGAGTCCTCCTTGAAGGAAGAGGAGGAAGGGCAGTTGTAACAAAAACACTATGGCAGGAGGAGGAGACAAGGATGAATTGAAGAAACACACTTTTGAGAGTTTTTCTTGAAGGTTCTGGGGTTTTTTTGGGCCTTATAACGTTTTTCAGTTGATTTGAGCGTTTTACCTGACTTTGAGCATCCGCCACACCGTCAAAAAATTTCCTAGAGCTCTAGAAATTTTTGTGAGCATTGAGCACAGCTGGAGCTGTGTTTTTGTAGTTGACAACTTTTTTGTGCAATCACTCTCCAGGCAGATAGCACGGAAAGTGCTAGCCTCCTCCGCTTTTTCAGCTATATCTGCCGGGATAAAGGTTGCACAAAAAAGTTATCAACTACAAAACTGAAGCTCAAGCTATCCTAAATGCTCTCAAAAGTTCTTGGAGCCGTAGAATAATTTTTGAGTCCGTGCCGCACGCTCAAAGTCAGTCTAATTTAGCTAAAAAAGCAGTTTTTAGACTTTTCAGACCCAACTTCCCCCGTTAGCCCCTCCCCTATATCCTCTCCCCTTGCTACCCATTTGTCCCTTATTATGCATCTGGTCCTAGTGATCCTAGAGAATAAGAAGAAGAAGAAAAAGAAGGAGAAGAAGAGGAGAAAATTAAATCCATTCATATAATAGAAACAACACAAAGCGCTAATCAAGTTGCATCTCTATGAATGTATAAAGAAAATAAAGGAGGATTAGATTTTAAGGGTGGTGAATATTATTTGGTTAGTCACTCTTATTTTGGGTTTAGTATAGATTTTTCTAGGATTTTGGAGAATTTTTTTTTCATTTTTTTACTCGATTTTCTATTTTTTTTAGCCATTTACATTTTTGGTCTCAACTTCTTCTGAAACGACATGTCATTCAATTTTGAAATTGTAGATCAAAACATTCTCTATCGATTAGTATGAATTTCATATAGGGTTGTTCCACAAAATCAATCGAAAAAAACCTAATTTTAGGATTTTTTCCGAAAATTTTTCGATTTTCGTCCCAAGTTTTTCAAACAACCCTAGGTCATATTTATACCAATCGATAGGGAATTTTTTGATCTACAACGTTTTCTTATCATATTCATAAGATTCCCTAAAGTAAAGATTTCGGATGTTTTCAGGTCATTCCTGGAAATGATGTGCTCAATTCAGGCTTACTGAGCATAGAGCTGTTTTTTGTCTCAAATTCCAACTGTCCCAAAAAACCTGAATTTCAACTTTTATACGAAAAATCAGGTTGTAGACGTTTGAGAGCCCGTTTTTATGATACAAGATATTCATACCAATCGATAGGGATTTTTTTGATCTACAAGTTTTTCTTAGCGGATCCATAAGATTTCCTCAAGTAAAGATTTTTGATTTTTACAGGTTGTACTTATAAATTATGTGCTCAATTCAGGCTTTCTAAGCTCAGTTTGTTTTCGGAAAAATCTGAAAATAAAAACTCAAATGGCAGAGTAGATCAAAAAATTATCTTTCGATTGGTATGAATATCATATGGGGTTGGTTAAAAATTTGTACCAAAAAACCGAAATTTCAAATTTCAGCGGAAAAATCGGTTTGGAGCCCTTTTTCCTGATACAACCTTATGTGATATTTATACCAAGCGATAGCTAATTTTTTGATCTACGACAATTTATTTCAGGCTGCCACCCGACTGAATTAGGTTCAAGATCGGCCGCAATTGCGCTGCGTTCTCAGCTTAGGCTTAGCGGAGAAATCTGTTTTTCAAACAAAAAAACTGGGTTTTTGTCGGTATTTCCAACAGAAAATGGGCGGAGCCTAGCTAATATAGTGGTGGTTCAGTAAGGTTTGTTCAGAAAAGCATAACTCAGCTGTCTTTAGAGATATCAAAAAGTGATCAATTAACAAAATGTTTAAAATTTACTGGTAGGCATTTTGTTAGTTGACCACATTTTGATAGCTCCAAAGGCAACTGAGATATGCTGCTGTGATCATACAAAGGGCCTCTAAGACTGACCTTTGTTGAATTTCAGTAGTCAGCTGGGGTGTATCACCCCCACGTGTTTCTACTATCCATAAATGACAAATCGCTTCTCTCTCTCTCTCTCTTCCTCTCCCCTGACACCGATTTAGATGTTTATCCATGTACTCTTCAGTTGCAACAGCTGTCTTTGGTTTTTTGTATGTTTCATATATCTTTTCAAGTGCACGAAAACCCAAAAAATAAACTTTTTGTGTCATATTTCTGAGGAAATTTGAGAAATGAAAGAGAGAGAGAGAGAGAGAGAGAGAGAGAGAGAGAGAGAGATTTGGGGGTCTGACCAAGGGTTGGGGGAGGGGTTAGGGTTGAAAGTGTCAACTTTTATTTGATACTTTGTTTTTCTAGTCGACACTTTTATGTTTTGTACGTATAGTTATTTAGTAGGTCAATTGGAATTCCTTGGGTGTGGCTGGATATCCTTCCGGGGGGAGAGGGGGCGGGTTTAGGTACATTTGGGTCTACTTTTTTCCCGCAAAGAAGGTTTTTGACCCCTAAGAACTTGAGGACCTTTTTCTAAATCAAAATGAGGGGCGGCGCGCCTCCGGCGCACTTGCAGTTCACGTCCATCGAAAGTTCCTGAAACCAATTACCCATCAAGAGTAAAAATGAAATCTAGGTGACAAAACCGATCTCCCTAAAACATGATGATGACAAGAAAATTGGTGACTTCCATTGCCGTCTTCCTTTTTTACCCTTGCATGTCCCCGACTGACAGAGTCCAAGTGACACTGCTACTATTAAGAGGTCATGTACTTTTAGAAAGTTTAGGTTTTTTTCATTTTGTCTGCAGCTGGGGATGGCTGATTTTGATGAGTATTGCAATGAAGAATGCACTAACTGGCTCAGTTTGCGCCTCCGGCGCATTTGCACCATGTTAACTTTTCCATATTTGGGGGATTTTCTCTGTTTGTTTCTGGGTTTTTCTTCAAAAATTTCACATGATTTTTCACAGCAAATTGATGAATAATTTCACCTTGAAACATGTTCAAAATGATGGTAGGAGCAGTTTTTTTTAGTGCACCTGAAAAAAATGTGCTCACGACAGCTGCCCCAGGGCTGGGCATAGCCGGCAAAATTCTGATCCCGGCTCGGCCCGGCCTTTTGCAAGTATGAATTTTTTCACTAGAATTCTTAGAAATTTCATTTGTAAATCAAACAGTTCTCTATCGATTGGCATAAATATCATATAGGGTTGTATCGGAAAATGTGGATCAAATGAGCGAAAAATGCATTTTTTTACTGAAAATCGGGAATTTTCAGTTTTCAAGCCCAAATTTCTAAGACAACCCTATATGATATTTATACCAATCGATAGAGAATTTTTTGATCTACCCACTCCAAATTTGAATTTTGAAAAGTTTGAACAAATAACTTGAACATTGTAAATTTTCCATTTTTCAGTTTAAAAACCCATATAAAACGGGTCATTGATTACAGTTCAATCGGCAATGAACTTTTTGTGAACATTTCCTTAGTTGGTTACATTTTGAAATTCTTACAGGCAACCTAGAAATGAGGCTCTGAACACAGGTTTGCCCAGTACAGAGCAATA